TTACAAAAACCCATTCTTTCTGCCCCATCCACGACTTCTTTCAAACATACTCTTTTTAGAGATGTCAAGGAGGTGAAGCTAGCTGTCTCTCTTTTATATGGCTGATGGAAAACTGGACATTTCTTATTTTATTGATGAAGGCTGCTCTTTGATTTTAGAAGGCTCGGCTGTTTTACTGCTGTGCTGTTGTTGATTATTTGCTTTGCTTCAAGGTTTCTTCCCCCCCCCACCCCCCAGTTTTGTTCCTACTCTACTTCTGAATGATTGCTTTTTGAGCTTATGGGGTTTTTTTTTATTATCAATCACTTGGAAACTCTTCATCGAGTGGAGGACCAATTAAGAAACACATGGAGGGGGCCCCCCCATGAAAACAAATTAAAAGATACTCCCTACCAGATCAATGGCCTTGAGTCCTGCCCCCTGGGAGAAAGGTGGCATAGATATGCCATAAATAAAATGTATGAGAAATAAGTTACTTTTTTGGATGACGGCTCCAAAATCCTTGTGATGTACGTTCTGGGAATTGTGGGGCGGGGGTCACTTTCCCAATTTCTCCTTTCAACAAAGATGAAAAAAAGGAAGGTGCTACAGTAGTTCTTTCGAAGGCACCTTCTAAAGCAGTGGTCCCCAACCTTGGGCCTCCAGATGTTCTTGGACTTCAACTCCCAGAAATCCTGGCCAGCAGAGGTGGTGGCGAAGGCTTCTGGGAGTTGTAGTCCAAGAACATCTGGAGGCCCAAGGTTGGGGACCACTGCTCTAAAGGACCTAAAGGGCAGTGAAACCACCAGTGCCAGGAAACACTATGGCAGCTTCCTTTTGGGGGTGGGTGGGTACATGAACAACAGGAAGCAAGACCAGAGCTAGACCACGAAGCCTGCCTTTCTCTAGGTGAGCCAAACACTGGTTTCTCTGGGTTTGAGGGCTGGAACTCTAACTGGGAAATTCTTTGAGACATCTGAGAGTTGGAGTCAAGGAAGGGAGGGAGGTAGGAAGACACATTCTACTAGTAACAGTATGACCTCTATATCCGCAGGCTTGGTATCCGTAGTTCGACTTATGCACGGTCTAAAAATATGAAAAATATTAAAAGAAAAAAATATCTAGAAATATGTATCTCTACAATGTATTTATCCGAAGTGGCCATTAGAGGGAGCCAGAGACCATGCTGTGTATTCTTGTTGGAATATCGAGAATGGTCTCTGGCTCCCTCTAGTGGCCAGTTCTGGTAATATATTGTGGAAATACTTTTTTCTGGTCCCCCCCCCCCAATTATTCACCTTTCAGTCACCACAGATACAGGGATTCTACTGTATTCTTCAGTTTTGTCTTTGTGTTTTTATAAATATTCCCGAGGTACAACATCAGAATTGGCCATTAGAGAAAATACTTCCCTGTCTTTTCCCAGTAAGAGCCAAAAGAACACGCGGGTCATGTTTTTGCACTGAAGAGGCCATCTATAAACTTAATAAATAGATAATGTTAATGCATCAAATTCCTTGAATGATAATGATAACCATAATGGCAACCGAGAAGGAACGAGTTCCTTTTAAAATCTTAATTTTTCCAGCCTGTTTTTTTCAGATGGGCTCTTCAAAAGCTTCACCACCCTGCCCCAATGCCCGTTGGTCACCATCTCAGGTGAGAGAAGACGGGGCCGCAAGCTGCAAGGCGCGATGGATGGAAAGCCAGCGCCTAAAGGTGAGGATTGTCTCCTTTTCGCAGTGTTAGGAGGAGCGGTCCTCTGGGTTTCATCAGCCCAGCGCTTAACCTTACAGATGGCCAATTCCGCGTGGGCTGTGCAGGAGGAGTCAAGGCGGCTCGCCCGGCTCCCAGGCTTCTGCAAGCTGTCTTTCCACACGTCCCGGGCTAATTAATTATACGGCATTGCAGAGTGAGACAGTTCATGGCCACCGTGTATCATTTTTAACTCTCTCCCAAGATGCTCTCCGCCAATGAAAGAGAAGGGGAAAGGCTGCTGTGAGTCGTATTCCCAGCAGCTGTGATTCGTAGCAATTGCCTGTTTATGGTCTACGCCTCCCTGTGGTCTCCCAGAATTAAACAGGGTGGGCTCCTGGTCGAAAGAGAAGGTAACCGGGTGGCAAGAGATGCCCTGACTTAGATCGTTGCTTATCTCTGTGTCCTACTTCCTCTGCGCTGAGTCCATCCTCACTGAGTCACCTTGGGCCAATTGAGTCAGGGAGACCCTGCCTTGCAGGGGGGTTGTGATGAAGACAAGGGGAAGAGAAGGGGAAGGGTGGAAGCTGCCTTGGGATGACTGGAGGAAATCTGAAGCAAGTGCCTCCTTAAATGAACTCCTGGATAGCTCCGGGGTTTATGCACCTGACTGTGGAGCCAGAGGTTGGGTGTTCGATTCCCCCTCTGGGCCTCCTTGGCCTGGGCTGGTCCAGAGGGTTCCCTTCCAGCTCTGTCGGTCTAAGAAATACACTTCCCCTATGCATCTTACTCCAGATACAAACACAGGGGTGGCGAACCTTGGTCGTCCAGAGGTAGCGAGCGTCAGGCAGAGTCCTATGAATGGTTAGCTAAAGCAGGAACAGAAAGCGGCACTCGATCAGCGTGGAGTGCGGGCCACTATCGTGAGTATATAATCCGCCACAGATCTGCAATGGAGATCTCTTGTGATAGCAAGTGGAACCTACACGGGCAAAGGTAGTCTACCTGAGGCTCCTAAACCCTAGGAAGAAGAAAAAGAGGAGGGAGCTATGGACCTCGCCTCCTGACAGTGGGTTTTCTGTCCAGTTAGACCAGGTTACTGGTCTAACTGGGTCTCAAATCAGAGCCAACCACAGTGTTCTTCTCCACGAGCTAAGCATGTGTCAGAACTTGGGTAAGTTACTTTCTTGGTCTTCATTGCCTTAGAATTCCCCCAGCCAACATAGTCACCTTCCGCATTGACTGGAGGATTCTGGGGTCTGGGAGTCAGAAAACAGCTTTTTTTTTGAGCTGTGTCTGTGATACCTTGCATTATTACAGCATCACGAAAGATTCACACTCTGGTCTTCCTTTCCTTCTCCTCCTTGCTCATCTTAATGAGGCATACAGAGGATACAGACCAGAAATATTTTGGACCCTGTGCCCTGGAATACCACCGGGTTTTGTCTCTCCCCCACACATACTCCTCAAAGCGCAAGGGAGTTTTAATGAAGCTAAAAGAACAGGAGACCTGGCCTTCTCATGGTACATTACCGTTTCTGGTTACCCAGCTGTTTGGGCCGTGGAGAGGAGACCACAGCAACACAATCCGGAGGAAAAATTAGTAAATAGAAGGTTTTAGTTTTGAAAAAGAGGAAGCTAGATTTTTTCTCTCTCTCTCAGAAAGGTGAACTTCTAGCATGCAAACTTTTCTTAGCCTGTCTCTACAAAAGACCAAACCTCAAACAATTGTGGTTCATTTTATTTTACTATGATTCTGTTGTTGTCGTTGTTGTTGCTTTTAATTTTCAATGTTGATATTTTAGCAATGTTAACTGTTTAGATTGGATGTTTATTATTTTTTTTAATGAATGTTGCCCGGAAAGTGCTGTTCTCTTTATGCCTTATTAATGTTTTTAAATTATATGATATTGTTGTCTGGTTTTAATGTGTGATGTTTAATGTTCTGGTTTGAACGATTTTTCTTTAAATTACTTTTTCATATGCTGCTTTTTTTGGTGCAATTTCAGATTTGGCGGGAAGAAATAAACAAAGAAAATATCAATAGATAATAATCTCTCCCTCAACCTAATTCATGTTCCAGACTACAAACTGATGTCCTGGATTGCAATTCCCATTGTTCTCGACCAGCACAGCAATAGATCATGTTGGCTGGGGATGTTTGGTCTTGTACTCCAAGCTATTTGAAGGACACCCAGCATCTCCCACACCTTTTTAAAAAATCTGTTCTTTCTATTCAGTGAGCATCCATCTTTTGCCATTTCTAAATGTTGTTTGGTTTCAAATCTGAGATCTAAACCATCAAGAAATAGAAGCATGTTAGAAAGTTTTTTAAAAAACTTAATGAAATGAAATTCACATCTGTCGCTATAAAAATACTGTAGCTCAGTTTTCTGAAGGATCTCGTTCTAAGAACAAGTAGGATGTGGATGGTAAAAGTCTGTGCATCAATATACGTTACGTGTAAGTTGAAAATGACTTAAAATAACCCTAGCAGCGCCTTCAGCGTAAGGGAGTTATTTAGGGAGTGGTTTCCACATTACCACCACCTCCTAGTGAGCTTCCATGGCTGAGCGGGGAATCGAACCCAGGTCTCCAGAGTTCTACTCAACCTCTCTATCCACTACACCACACGGCATATCAATATATGCACAGAAACAAGGAACAAGGGTTTATTGCTTCATCAGATCCTCTCCAGTTCTGCATAGTCTTCTGTGGATGCTGCTTCCTGTTGCTCACATTAAAAAGAGAGAAATCTGCTACAGTGCTTTCTGGGAGTCATAGTCTCACCACCCATTAGGTGCTACAGAAGGCACCTCCCAAAGAACCGCAACTCCCACAGTGTTTCCTTTTTTTTATTTCTCCCCTCTTTTTTCCGTTAGCTGGAACAAGGCCATGCAAGACCTCAAAGCTAGATCTTTTTTTGCAGGAGAGTGTTTGTAGTTTGTGTCAGAGGGTAGAAACTCTCAGAATTCTGCTTGGGGAATTCTAGGCATTGGTGTACAAACACACACACACAGACCGAAATTCCAGATTTGCTGCCCTGCTGAAATCAGAACCGCCCGCTTCCTCCGGTCAAATCCCTTCTTTTTTTTTTTTCCAGAGCTGGCAGCTGGCGGTGCCGAGCGATTCCCACGGAGGCCGGTCCAGCTCATTTCACCCTTGGCAAATCCCCAACCCTCGAGGCAAGCGACCCAGCCATCTCTGAACGCAGCCGCCGGGGGGGGGCTCTCCTCGCTAAAAGCTGTTTCGACTGGACTCTGACAATAAAATTTACCGTTAAAAATAAATTTATCTTGGCTTCCCACAGCCCGAGAAACCTACAGAGGGGAGTGATTCAGACGGGCTGTCAAGACCTCCGCCTTCAACACACTGGGCTGAGCGACTGGATATTTTCCAACCCCCAGCAGCTCATTTTCTGGTGCTGCAGCCAGGAATGTATAGTAGGTTGACGTTTAATTTAGCATCTAACATACCTTGACATAAACCCATAATACAATAGCAGGGGGTAGGGGAGCTGATCATAGTGGCAGAGCTGGCCCAGTTGGTAGAATTGATGTTTATTTTATAATTTGTCTTTTCGTCTCTTTTATTATTATTATTGGTTCCGCCTTCTTGGTCTTCTACCTTTTCTTCTGTCAACAGTCGCCAAGTATGACAGGATGAAAGCGGCAATCAAAAAAATAAAAGGATTGAGAAAGGAAGCGAGGAAAGTATGCAGATGCCATACGCTTTATATCATAGGTCTTGTTTGTGGTGCATATAAGATCCACGATGCATGAATGCAGGAATGCAGGCAAAAGGTGCCACTCTGAGAGCATAGCTACAGCTTCGGACTGACTGGTTGGATTCAGGCAGGCGTGAAAAGCTGGGATTTTTGCCTGAGTATTTTAAGTACGTTTAGATCATGGCTGGCCGGTTTTAAGTATGCAAGGCTCATTGCCTTTGTTTGATTGCATGCCTTTTTCCCCCCTTCTTCATTTATTTATATTACATTTGTTTTCATGCATTTTAAAATATATATATATATTATGTCGCATTTTAAGGGCCTTCTTGGTGGCTGCTCCCTGGCTCTGGAACTCTCTTTCAAAGGAGAAGAAGGTGGATGTCTCCATGTCGTCCTTCTGAGGGCAGGTAAAGACCTTTTTAAAAAAAGAAGATACAAGCAGGTTTGGGGTAATTGCTGGGTTATACAGAAAAAAGGCTTTTAATGAGCTGGGGCTCTATATTTTCCCCCTCACTGTGCTTTTAATTGATAGGGCTGTGCACAGGCCTCCAAAATTCACTTTGGGGGCCCAGTTGGGGGCTTTGAAATGTATCCCAATTTGGTCTGGAGTGATTGATGCCCATCTAATTTGACTTGTGTCTCAGATCTGGAGCCATTCATAGCCCTCTCGCTGATTTGTGATGGAACCCTAAAACAGCTAAAACACAGCGGGGCATGTGTGCACCGATTGTACGTGATATTTGGCTTCATAATAGATCCTAAAGAGTGGAGTAAATTTGGCAAAAATTTAGAGTTAATTTCGAGGTCTGTATATTAGGCACTGTTAAAGTTTGCTTTGGAAAAAACCCACAAGTTTAAAATGTATGCATAAACACGCATACATTGGGAAGGAGGAGTGAAGGAAGAAACTGATCTCAGCTCATGAAAAGGAAAGCTGGTGGAACACGGAGGGGAGCAAAAGGATGATGAACATAAACAGATAGGTATGGGACTTTGGGAATAACCCAAATGGGAGAGGCTCCTTCTTTCATTTTCCGTGTCTTTCATGGACTTAGCATCGAGTGCCTCCAAAATACAGAAGAATCAGGATTTCAGAAGAAAGGTCAATGAAATTTACAGATTTCTTACATATTTTTCATTTTGAATTGCCTTGCCTTTTTTTATCTTTTTATTTGATTTTTTGGGGAATTTCTCCTCAATTCTTTAATTGCTGCCTAGAGGGCTTACTTGCTCTCCACCTGGTGGATTGCAACCTTCACTTCTTTATCGAAGCCATCAGAGTGGTAGCATAAAAAGCTGCCTCTCATATCCCCCGTATTTAGGGGTTTGGATTTCAGAGGGTTGCTTATACCTATGGGAGTGAGTGTATTTTATTCCAGTCATGATCGTGGCTTTTCCTGCTCATCGGTACCACTTCTTGCTGCTGAATTTATGAAGATGATGGCAAAGGAGAACTTTTAAGGTCCTATTGGTGCCTATGTAGGTCTGTGGATGATGGATTGGATGTTGCCCAGTTTTGGAGTAGATGGTTGTCTGTTGCCTAGCCCCTGCTTTTTTTGAGAGTTGTGTTGGGCTTAATTGGCTCTAGTACCAAAAACCCAAAAGGGCTTGGTGGGGACGTTTCAGCAGCGTCCCTTTTGACAAAGTTGGACCAGCTGAGCTTGTTTGTTCCCCAGTGGGCATTAAAGAGGCTTCTAAGTCTGGTTGCGTGGAGGCAACCGACAGCAGCGGGAGCTCTCCCACTGCTGAATTTTAAAGAGATGTCTTTCTAGAGAGCGCGAGAGGTTTGTGGTGCATCTCTGATGATGCCTCCTCCTTTCTTGGGGGGGGGGAAACAGCACCCCGGTCCTCCCCTGGGGCTGCAGCAGCTCCCTGCCAAGGATTTAACAGCATCTGCGGGAGGAAGTAATCCCAGGAGAGATGGTCCAGACTTCCTGGCCCGACAAATAAACACGCTCTGCCGTCTTTGTCGTCTCTGCCTGCCAGAGTTCTCCCAACTGAGAGGCCGCAGACGAGTTGCGCTCCCCTCCCCGTTTCCTGAATAAAGTTTGTTTAAATTCACCACGCTAGGGTTCCCCAGAGAAGAGAGCAGCAAAGGCTGGAAAGAAAGAGAGGGACTTGGCAGGATGGGGCCAGCGACGGAGGACTTGCAGTCCGGCTGCGTATTTTTATTATTTTAATTTTTTTTGGGGGGGGGACCAATGTCAAATCGCTTCCAGGCACAGGGGAGGAACCCTCAGGGGGGAGTGTTCCCATTACCCGTGAGCAGCAAAGCTGAATCCAAGCACACCGGGCCCTCCCCCTCGGAAGCTGTTCTCTTCTAAAACGCTCTCCAGATGTTGCATCTGAGCGTGACGGATCTGTTATTGGCTCTGGGGATAGGAGAACAGCTGCAACGGTCACGGCCGGCGGCACCAAGCGACTACAATAACGACCGCGCCGGTGTGGGCTGGTGGACCGTGTCCTGGGCTGGGATTCAGTTGATGGACCCGCTTCCCAGGGAGTCACATGGGGAAGAAGTAACGCTCCTAAAGTTCCTTGAAGGAAATGTGGACCAGAAAGATAACCCTCGTCTGTTGCAGTGCATTGGTGGAACAGCGATTCCAGGAGCAGTCTACCTCAGGGTCTAGAAGAAAGCTGCTAGAAAGTCCTGCCACCTTCAGGCTACGCAGAGACCTCCTTTTGGCCTCCTTGGGGTCCAAGATGTTGGAAGGGAAGCATTTGCAGTTTGATCTGGTAGGACTCTTCCTTCGGCTTGAAAGCTGACTGCTTTCTGGACACGCTTATTGGCTACAGGTCAGAGCATGGCAAAAGAGCAAAGTCGTGTCAAACTATGACATCGCACTCCTCTGGCAGCTGATTTTACATAGTGATCCTTTAGTGCTGGTGTTTCTCTGCTCACAGATCACTGTAATCTCCAAAAGAAAGACCATAAGGCAATATATAAAATTATATATAAATATATATGTAAAATTTCCTCATTCCAGACTTAATAATAAAAGTGAGACCTCCACTTAGGCACAGTGCATTCACATGTGCAAACGTAACAGGGATCTCACACATAAAACCACACAGGGTGGTGTAAAGAAAAGTATGAGTAGCTTTTTGGCATAACATTCAGCGGTATTTGTTTTTGCTTGGAAGAGAATTTGGAGACATTACAAAAATGTGGCCGACTAAGGAATGATTTTGAATGCTTTGATTCAATCATCCTTCCAAAGGGAGACAGCAGCCAAGAAAGCAGCAGAAGACTGGGAGTCGGAAGGGCAGCCATGAAGGAACTGGAAGAGACCATCGAAGGTCAGGATGCGTCCCCGGAGACCAGAACCAAGACCATCCACACTCTTGCATTTCTGATCACCACGTAGGGATGTGAAAGCCGGACAGTGAAGAAAGCTGACGGGGAGAGGGGTAGGGATGTGAAAGCCGGACAGTGAAGAAAGCTGACGGGGTGCGGGGGTGGGGAATGATTCATTTGAAAATGTGGTGCTGGAGGAGAGCTTTGCTGATACGGAAAGACAGACAGTGGGTCCTAGATCAAATCAAGCCAGAACTCTCCCTGGAGGCACAAATGCTGAAAATAAGGCTGCCCTCCTTTGGGCACAGCCTGAGAAGGGAAAGAGAAGCCGGACAGTGAAGAAAGCTGACGGGGTGCGGGGGTGGGGAATGATTCATTTGAAAATGTGGTGCTGGAGGAGAGCTTTGCTGATACGGAAAGACAGACAGTGGGTCCTAGATCAAATCAAGCCAGAACTCTCCCTGGAGGCACAAATGCTGAAAATAAGGCTGCCCTCCTTTGGGCACAGCCTGAGAAGGGAAAGAGGGTTCTCTGGAAAAGACAACCAGGTTGGGAAAGGCGGAAGGCAGCAGGAAAAGAGGAAGACGCAATAATACGAGGTGGATCGGCTCCCTAAAGGACACCACCGGCTTGAGTTTACAAGAGCTGAGCCAGGCCATTGAAGACGGGACATTTCAGAGAAAGGGCTGGTTCCGGGATTCGCCATGAGTCAGGGGCGAAGTGACCGCACAAAAGGGGAATTCTCATTTAGAGTCAAGGAACCTCAACAATTTCAGAATTTTTTTAAAATAACAAAATGGGAAGGGAAACTGGACACAGGCCATGTGGCGATCCAGGTGGTTTTGTTGACATTGGCCCTTATCCCAACAAGCAGGCTTTTTGGAAGGACGATGGGGCTTGGAGACTGATGCCTCCCTTCCCCTCTTCTGTCCTGGTTGGGAAAACCTGACCCTGTGACTGGGTTCAGGCAAAGCACAGCCCTCCACATGCAGTAGGACTACGAATCCTATCACGCCCAGCCAGTGGGGAGAACCTTGAGATCTGTGGTGCAGCAATATCTGGAGAGCATTAGTGTGACCCCCCCCTCCGCCTTAGACCTTTTTCCCCCCCGCTGACAAGGTTGGCTCAGCCACGGGGTGCCCAAATCCTGCTTCGCAGAAATGCAAGCTCCTTTCAAGACGTTAACAGCCGCATCCTCCTCGCCTGGTTTTCAACATATGTCATTTTTTAATACACAGCCCAAAAGCCTGGCTTCTCCGTTCTCACCCAAGTACATAAGCTGGTGTTAATAACCATAAACTCTGTGAAAAAAGAACTCATTTGCGGCTTTCTCGAGGAAATGAATGGCTTTGCATGAAGCTAACCATGCTTGCTTTATTAGCCTATATTCTAATATAGTGCCAAAGTACATAGGATGTTAAACGAGTTGCCTCCAGCGCTATATGAGTGGTTATTTTGCTTACCTAAATTGAGGCGGAGGGAGTCTGCTTTAAAAATGTTGCCACAGTCCATGGAGGTTTTAAACTCTTTCTTCTCCCTCCAGGGCCAGGGCAAAAACGTCCCCCGTGGAGATCAGATAACAAGAGGAGGCTCCCATTGGGATATCAGTGGTATTAAAAATAATATTCTTGCCAACATTCTCATGAGCATCCGGGGCCATGTGAAGATTCGAACCCAGGGCTTCCAAGTCCTCTTCTGATACACCACCCACCACACTCTAGCTGTGGTTTCCCCGCTCTTCAGGCTCTGCAATTTATCAGGTGAGATTCTGTACCAAAAAAAAGAGGAAAACGGAGACAGCATCCTCACCTTGCAGATTACAAAAAAAAAATTCTGCCTTCATTATGAAGCCTGGATGGAGTTCATTGTTTTTCTGAATATCTGGTGAAGAAATTAATTTTCCTAATCTCTCCATTAGCATCTGGTCTTCTGTTGTGTTTTGGACGAGGCACGAGATCTCTCCTAATATTAGTTTGGTCCGGTGCCTTTCGTCGAGGAGCCAAATCCTACTCGTCCTGCTTTGTGGTTCTGTAATGGTTCGCGAGGGACTTCCACGCAGGAGCTTCAAAAAGGGTTTGGCTGGATCGCATTGTTGATTTGCTGTTGATG